AAAAAAAAAAAAAAAAAAAAAAAAAATACCGATTTTTCAGGAGACCAGGTTTTCTTAGGGGGAAAAAAGCATATATATTTTATGTAACATCTCTCTCAGGAGCTAACAGTTCTATAGAGCTAATTTAATGTGCACAGTAGCTATGCCAGTGAGATAGATTAAATGATTTTCATATTTTTCAGAGAAATAGAGAAGGTAACAGTTTTGTTTTTTAATTTTTTTAATTTTAATTTTTTAAGAGACAGGGTCCCCTGTCACCCAGGCAAGAGTGCAATGGCATGATCATAGCTCAAACTCCTGGGCTCAAGCAGTCCTCCTGCCTCAGCATCCCAAGTAGCTAGGACTACAGGTGCATACCACCATGTCCAGCTAATTTTTCTTATTTTTTGTAGAAATGGGGTCTCACAATTACTCCTCTTTGGAGACCTTGGATGGGGAGCCAAGCCCAGGCATCTTTATTTTTAACAAGTTACTAGGTGATTGTGATTTTTGATGCACACCAAAGTTTCAGATCTGTTGATCTGTATCATTCTAATTTCTCATACTTCTCAAATGAAAGTGAAGAAAAGGTTTGGTAATAAGAAGATAAGCCATGCAGTTTTAATTTTGGTTACTAAGCTGGGGATCAGATGGAAAGAGTATCTTTATATTCAAAGGTGGTTGAAGCTTACCACAAAAGACCATCATGGTGATGATCTACCACGCTATTATTTTATTTATTTATTTTTTTTGAGACAGAGTCTCGCTTTGTTGCCCAGACTAGAGTGAGTGCCGTGGCATTAGCCTAGCTCACAGCAACCTCAAACTCCTGGGCTCAAGCAATCCTCCTGCCTCAGCCTCCCGAGTAGCTGGGACAGGTGCATACCACCATGTCCAGCTAATTTTTCTTATTTTTTGTAGAAATGGGGTCTCGCTCTTGCTCAGGCTGGTTTTGAACTCCTGACCTTGAGCAATCCGCCCGCCTCGGCCTCCCAAGAGCTAGGATTACAGGCGTGAGCCACAGTGCCCGGCCAAGGTTAGTGTTTTTGACAGATGTGCTGGAACAACTGAACATTTATATAGAAAAAAATGAATTTTGACCTTTACCTCAAACCATACGTAAAAATAACACAAAATGGATCATACACCTAAATATAGTCTTTGTGACTTTGATTTAGGTAAGGATTTCTTAGATAGAATACATAAAAAATTATAAGACAAAATCGATAATTTGGGCTTCATCAAAATTAAAAAAAAACGAATGTCTGCTTTTTAAAAGACATCATTAAGAAAATTTAAAGGCAAGCCACAGAGTGGGAGATAATATTCTCAATACATTTATAGCTGATAAAAGACTTGAATCCAGAATTTAAAAATGAATTCTTATCACACAATAATAAGAAAACCCAGTTTAAAAATGGGCAAAATATTTGAATAAATACTTTACAAAAGAGAATATGGCAAGTAAGCACTTGAGAGATGCTCTTCATCATCAGTCATTAAGGAAGTACAAATAAAACCATGCAACGAGATAACACTATGAGCACATACACTAGAATGGCTAAAATTAAAAACACTTGACAATGTGGAGCAACTGGAACTCTCATGCATTACTCGTGAGACTGCAAAATAGAAGAGTTTTGGCAATGTCTTTTCAAGTTAAGCATATGTTTATCAGATGACTTAGTAATCTCACTTTTAGATATTTACCCAAGAGAAATGAAAAGATGTGTCCACACAGATTTGTATGTGACTGTTCATAGCAGCATTATTTATAATAGTCAAAAACTGTAAACAACCCAAATGTCCATTAACTGAATGGATTAAACAAATTTCGGTATAACCATACAATGGAGTACTCAGAAATAAAAGAACTAAATATGATAAATGCAACAATATGAATGAATTTTAGAAGTATTATGCTAAGGGAAAGAAGCCAGACACACAAAATAATGTTAGATTCCATTTATGTGAAAACTGTAGTGACAGAAAGCACAGATCAGTGATAGCTTGGGGCCAAAGGTTGAAAGACATAAAGGAATATTTTTGCGTTGAAGGAAATATTTTACATCTTGATTGTGGTAGTTGTTTCATAAGTGTATATAGGTGTCAAAACTCACCAAACTCTCCACTTAAAATGGGTGAATTTTATTTTAGGTAAATTATACCTCAATAAAGTTAATGGGAGAATAAGACTTGAGAAGCTCCTCCTCAACTTGTTGATTTAAAATTTTGTAAATAAAAAATTTGTAGATTATTTATATTCAAAGGAATATCTTTGGGAAAATACAGGTGCTCCAAGGATATGTAATGCAGGGAATAAAAATGTAGTCTCTCGAAGTGATCACTTGAGATGCAGGGTCTTGAATAATAATAGGATAGCAATAACTGAGGTGGGCATTTCAAGTATAGGAAATAGCACAAACCAGGCCTTACGGCTTATTTAGGAAATAGCAAGTAGTTCTCTTTGATTATTAGAGCAAAAGATGCATGATATGAAGCAATATAAGATCAAACTGATTTTGGCAAAATGTTGAAAGGTTTAGAACTTTTTGAAGATCCAAGAATTTGTAATTAATAGTTGGGTAGGTAATAAGCAATGACTAAAGGTTATTAGATAAG